GCGATAGCCGGCATGAAGCAGAAGAAGCTCCGACAAATCGACGTCGCCAACGCCTTTCTCTACGCTCCCGTCGATGCTGAGATTTTTGTTGAGCAACCACATGGCTCTAATATAGACCCCAACCAAGTCTGTCAATTGCTAAAGTCCTTATATGGCATTGGCAACAGTACCTACACGCTCGGCTAATTCGCATCGGATTCCGCCAATTACCACACGACCAAGGAATGTACCGGCTTACGAAGGGCGCCGACTACATCTTACTCATCATCTACGTGGACGACTTGCTCTACATCGGCTCAACCGACGGTATCACAACCTGGTTCAAAGGGGAGCTGCAGTGGGACCTCATGCTCCCGTCTCATCTACCGTGACACAATACATGGGACTCAACATACATGACGGGAAAAACGCAATCTACCTCGGCGCCGCAAAATACGCCAACACCATCGCCAAGCGCTTCGGACTAACTCCAACCATACCGCTACACCGACGGAAGTCGCAAAGAAAGGACCGCTCTGCTCAAACCCGCCGGCATTCGCGACTACCAACGAAAACAAGGATGCATACTCTTTGCACCCTTTACCTACCAACCGAACCTATCGTACTCAAGAAGCCTGAAGCTGAGCACATGGAGGAGCTTGACCGCGCACTCCACTACCTCGTCAGCACCTCGACGATCGGTCTGACCTACCACAAAACCGGAACTATGACGCCCAATCTAATCGGTTACATGGATGGTGACCACGCTGCCGACTCTAATATAGGCATTGACACACCGGCTACATCTACCGACTGGAGCAAATCGGTCCCATCTCGTGGCAGTCAAGCAAGCAAGAGCTAACTGCTCTCTCCTCAGCTGAAGCAGAATATATCGCTCTCTGCTCAGCTACCAAGGAAGGACTATACCTCCGCGAACTACTGGAAGTAGCGAAGCTGGCTCAGTTACAACCAATCAACAATCCGCATAGCGAACAAGAGCGGGTTCGCGAATCGAACGAAGCACATCACCGTGCGAGATTTCTTCGAGAAGGACGAGATCGAGAAGGGGAGACTCAAGATGTCCTACTGCCCCACATCCGAAATGGCAGCTGATTATTTGGCCAAGAAGCTCGGAAAGCAGAAGTTCGAGTACTGTATGTTGCTGACTGGACAAGGCTATGTCACCAGCCACGACACTCCAAAAGCAAAGGAGAGTGTTGGAAACAATTAATTAAACGCTCCTGTTGTGTCGAAACATGGAACTACAAACGAGGCAAATTACAGCGAAGCAAAAGCGAGTCAACTGAGGAGGTTGACAGAAAGTAACAGCTGGAGGTTACGAGAAGGTCAAAGGTCGCCGACGTTTGACTTGACAGAAGGCAGTGCGACAGCAAGGACAAACAACTGACTCGGTATTGAGCAGTTGCCCGAGTCGTCGCTGTATGAAACCGCAACAGCAACAGTAAAATAGTTAGCTGCACCCTTTCATATTCCTTGTAATCATGTGTATCCCTTTGGTATAATCAATCTCTTGCTCTCACACACTAGTGCAAGTCGGTTCAACAGATCATTAAAATGCCTCCGCAGTTACAACATTCCTACTCAGGGTCTTAGCCTTGAAAAGATCGTAACCGTTTTTCTCAGCCCAACAGACCTTTGACTCGCTGAAGGCAATGCGACAGCACGGACACATAACTGACTCGATATTGAGCAGTTACCCGAGTCGTCGCTGTATCGAACCGCAACAGCAGTTAGAGTTAGTTGAGCCTTTCGTATTTATTGTAATCATATAAGAGCTTGTATCTCTTTCTTATTATTACCTCATCTTGTTCTCACATGCTAGTGGAAGGTGGTTCAATCAGTTTATAAGTACGCTTCCGCTAATACATCACTACTCAGGGTCCTTAGTCTTCAAAACGATCTTAAGCGAGGCTCTGGTGATCACACCGAATCGGTCTGATGGTTTGATTTTCAGACCTCCATTATTGTTTTCATCTGATTTTCAAGACAGTGGTTTTTATTTTGTCTAATCAGTAAGACAATGAATTCAGTTCGTCTGCATTCTCAGAGCAAGAGTTATAGTTGTTGCAATCAGAAGTTGATCGTAACCAAGATCACCTCAAGAAGGTTCGCACACTACTGATTTAGTGGTGGGGGGCCCTTGACCTCAATAGCAGAGTGAATGTAAATGCTTGAGATGAATTAAAATATGCAAGTACAAGAAATATAAATAAGAGTACGGAGGAATTTGAATCGACCTAACTAGCCATGTTCTCTAAGGGGTACATTCCCTTATTACAGCGGAATCCAACCGTGCGACTCCAGATGGTTACGAAACTGTTCGGGCAAAATCATCACCACTGCTGCTGCCTGATGCTGTCTGCGCGACGGTTCGGATGCTTTCGTAACTGTGCGACCCTTCGTGTTACTTCCGCCCTTTCGACTTCGGCCTCGGTAGTGAGTGCTTCGCTTGCTGCGGTAAAGAGTGCACAGTGATGTTTCAAGAGTTACAATTTGTAACACCCCCCTTCACTCATGGCCGTAGCCGGTCTTGACCCGCTTGACTACCCCGCTGAGTTCGAAGCAGTGCTGGTACTGCTGGTGCGGCAGTTTCTTCGTGAGGAAATCTGCTGCCATGTCACCCGTCAGGCAGTAGGTTAGGTCAACCTTGCCCTTGTCAACTTCGTCCTTGACGAAGAAGTACTGCAGCGCGATGTGCTTGGTGCGGTTGTCGAAACCAGGCTTATTCACGATTCTGATTGCGCTCTGGTTGTCGCAGTGCAGGCGGAAATTTGCCAAGGCTGGAATTTTTGTCTCTTGCAATAGCTCCTGGAGGTAGAGCCCTTCGCGAACAGCTGTTGTTGCTGCGATGAACTCCGCTTTTGCCGATGACAGGGCAACCAGCTCCTGCTTCTGTGATTTCCAGGAGATGGGGCCACTGGGTTTGAGGCGGAAGAGGAAGCCTGTCCTGGACCGTCGATTGTCGGGATCGGCGGCATGGTTAGCGTCCACGTAGCCGATGAGGCTGAAGGATGCAGTTGGGATGGTGGAGTAGCAGAGCCCAACATTGGGCATGAAGATGAAGAATTGAAGTGCTTGCTGAAGATCTGAGAGATTCTCAGCCGTTGGTTTGCGTGAGTACTGGGCCAGCTGACTTGCGATGTATGATAGATCTGGCTTGCAGGTGACTGGGGCAAAGAGCAGGCATCCCAAGTGTTGCTTGTAAGTCTGAAGCCCAGTTGGGGATAGGACTTTGTTGTCAGGCTTGTGGTTGGGTCTTGGAGTGCGGTAAAGGGTAGAGAGCGGTGCTGGTGCAATGTTGAATCGCTTGCCAAGTTCTTCTGCGTACTTGACTGCTGGGAGATGAATGGCTTCTGGAGAATAGGTGATATTGAGACCAAGGAAATGCTTCACATCGCGGTTGCAGGTAATGTCGACGCACCTTGCAAGGTTTTTCTCGAACTGCTTGAGTAATTCAGGGCTTGACCCTGTGTAGAGGAGGTCGTCGCCATAGAGCCGTAAGAAAGATGTATTCGCCGCGAAAGTCGCGGCGATACATCCCCGGGTCGTGAGGTAGCTGCTTGAATCCGATTTCAAGCAAGATGTTGTACAGGTACTGCTGCCAGAGCCTCGGTGCTTAATCCCTCAAGCAAGGGATTTTTGCAGCTGGCAAACACGCGAATCCCCTTCGCTGTATGTGTCCGGCTGCTCCACGTAGATCACTGCATCTACTAACGCATACAGGAACGCGTTCTTCACATCAATTTGTCGGAGCGGTAGGTGTCGTGCGGCAACGATGGCGACCAGAATCCTGATGGATTTATGGCGGCTGACTAGTGCGAATGTCTGATCGAAGTCAATGCCGTGCCTCTGATCGTAGCTGCACACTACCTTGCGCGCCTTGAACCAGTCGATCATCCCGTCAGCTGCGCTCTTCACGCGGAAGACCCATTTCCTAGACAGAATCCTTCTCCCCTTGATCGCCGTTTGGTCAACGAGCACCCAGGTGTCACGGCACTTAAGCACATTAATTTTCGCATCCATTGCTTCGCGCCACTCCTTGCTGTGTGGACCTGTGAGAGCTTGGTGTGGGTTCTTTGGTTCGATGATTCGTGGCGCCATTGTAATGGCGGTGTGAAGTCCGAGAAGCTGAATACCGGTGACGATGCTATCGTAGCGATACTGCGTGAGGACTTCCTGCACGTCGTCATCATCGCTTTCTGGTTCCGGCGGGGCTGGTGGTGCTGCGCCTCTGCCGCTTCCACTTCCTCCTATTGCACCTCCTGCTGCGCCTGCTCCTCCTTCTCTTGAATCATCGTCGACGTCGCGACGATCGCCTCTCATGAACTCTCCTCTGGAATCTAGCTCTATGATAGCCGCGGCACCTTCGTCTGGCATGGCGTAGCTGTGCCCGTCATTGGCGTAAACGTGGTTCGCGTTCGTCTGCTCATCTTGTCAAATTATAATGTTGTGTAGGCTGTAGTGGGGTAGCCTATATGGGGTACACATTTCTAGGGTTGCATATTTGTACCACATTCCATTCCTTAGTGCATTCATTCTTGTTTCAGTTTTCTCATGGTATCAGAGCAGGTTCCCTCGTCGGAACTGTGCCTAGGGCCCACCAAGTCGAAAGTTTTTTTTTCCTGCCTGGAGCGCGCTCAGCCCAAGTCGCGCTCCCCTCTCTGACTTCGTCGAGCCGCCCTAGCGACTACGTCGCGCCGCCTTAGCGGCCCCTGATTCGTCGCCCTAGCGACCCCGTCGCCCTACCTGCGCCCCGGCCCCGGCCCCGTCGCCCTACCTGCGCCCCGGCCCCGGCCCCGTCGCCCTACCTACGCCCCGGCCCCGTCGCCCTACTTGCGACCCCGGCCCCGTCGCCCCACCTGCAGCCCCGGCCCTGTTGCCATACCTGCAGCCCCGGCCACGGCCCCGTCGCCCTGCCTGCGCCCCGGCCCCGGCCCCGTCGCCCTACCTGCGCCCCGGCCCCGTCGCCCTACCTGCGTACCGGCCCCGTCGCCCTACCTATGGCCCGGCCCCGTCGCCCTACCTACGGCCCCGCCCCGTCGCCCTACCGCGGCCCCAGCCCCGTCGCCCTACCTGCGATCCCGACCTCGCCGCCCTACCTACGGCCCCGGCTCCGCAGCCCTACCAGCGGCCCCGCCGCCCTACCTGCGGTCCCGCCGCCCTACCTGTGGCCCCGCCGCCCTACCTGCGGCCCCGCCGCCCTACTTGCGGCCCCGCCGCCCTACCTGCGGCCCCGCCGCCCTACCAGCGGCCCCGCCGCCCTACCTACGGCACCTTCGCACTACCTACGGTTCCAGCCCCGTCCCCTACCGCTCGAGCCGCCTACGCAGCCGAGCCGCCCTCGCCGGTGAGCCGCCCGAGCCGCCCATTCTGCCCGAGCCGCCCGAGCGGCCCGAGTAGCCGAGGAGCCGAGCCGCGGGTGCCGCCGAGCCGCAGTTGCTGCCGAGCCACCCGAGTCGCCCGAGCCACCGTGTTGCCAAGCTGCTGTGCTGCCGAGCTGCCCGAACCGCCCTGTCTGGTAAGAGCAGTGCCTCTGTCACTGCACTGCCCCTCCTCTACAGTTAGCGCTGCTAGTCCACTGCTGTCATAGCTACCCCCAGTGTTCTCACTTTTGACGCTGAGGGTCGGGCCATTGACTTTGACGTCTGGGTAGATGACTTGCAGCTTTTCCTACAGTGCGATAGGGCAGACGGTCTCTCCCTCTTGCCTCTCCTGCCCCTGCTGCCGATGCCGACGCCACTGTTCGCTTATAGTGGGCCACTCGCGACGCTGCTGCACGTCTTGCTGTGCGTCGCCACCTGCCTACCACTGAGCACGCACACGTTAGTCACTAGAAGAGTGCTCAGACCTTGTATGACGCTGTAGTTGCGCGCTACTCTTCCCCTGCCACTGCTGCACTAAGCCGCCTCATGCTACCGTACCTCTTCCCTGACCTTGCTGCCTTTCCCACAGTCTCTGACCTCATTACGCACCTCCGCACTAGTGACACTCGCTACCGCGCTGCACTTCCCGCTGAGTTCTGCGCCAAGAACCCCCCCCCCATGTACATCACCCTCTACTACATAGTCACCCGCCTCCCTAACTCTCTGCGCGTAGTCAGGGACCACTTCCTCTCGGTTTGCCCCACCACTCTCATCGTTGACCTCCTCGAGAAGGCCCTCCTAGCAGCAGAGAAGAGCATAGTCGCTGTAGGAGCCTCTCGTGGTGACCCTCGCACCCCCATCTTTGAGGGGTGCTCCCCCTCCCCCCTTTTGCCCTCTGTTGCCTCTGCTGCTGCGGCCGACCTCGTTGGGCTTGAGTCGGTCGGTGCGGCGTCTACCCCTAGCGGGAGACACCGCCCTGGCAAGGGCAAGGGGGGCAGGGGCGCTGGGGGTGCTAGCGGGGGCGGTGGAGGAGGCGGTGGAGGCGGAGGAGGGGGTGGGGGTGGCAGTGGGGGTGGTGGCGGGGGTGGAGGTGTCAGTGGCGGCAGTGGAGGCGGAGGCGGTGGCGGCGGTGGCGGTGGGAGCGGAGGTGGCGGAGGTGGTAGCGGTGGTAGCGGCGGCGGAGGAGGAGGCGGCGGCGGTGGAGGCGGAGCTGGTCGGGGTGGTGCTGCACAGACGGTCGGCTCAGGTGGAGGTCAGCGCCAGCAGCAGCAGCAGCACCGCACTCCTGACACTCCCCCACCTCAGCAGCTCCGTAAGTGGTACGCTGCACGCCAGCGGGGTGGGGGGTACAGGTCCGTGCACCTACGTCCTCCGCACAAGCGACCGCGCGGGTGAGCAGTGTGAGGGTGCGCACCCCACCCAGCGCTGCTTTGGCCGCCTGACGGACACTTGGCGTCACCAGTTCCCGGAGGCCACTGAGATCCCCCGTTGGGGTGAGCTGTCTAGGGCGGGAGTAGCTATCTTTGACCTTGACTTTGATGCTATTCTTGCTGCCATCTATGTTGTGTCTATTGATGATGAGGGAGACTGTTACCGGTGTTTTCCGCCCAACCCGGGCATTGAGAGTGCTGCTCCAGGTACTGGTGAGGTTGCTGCTCTAGGTGCTAGCGAGGCTGCCGCTCTAGGTGCCTGTGCGTCTGCTCCCTCAGGTGCTGGTGCGTCTGCTCTCTCAAGTACGGCGTCGGCTTTGGCATCCCACACCTTCACCCTTGACCCGGGGGCTTCTCACTCCTTCTTTCGAGACCGCACCACGCTCACACCGCTTGGCCGGCCTGTTGCAGTCTCCTTGGCAGACCCCTCTGGGGGTCCTGTCCTTGCTCACTACTCGACTGTCCTCCAGTGTCCGGTGGCCCCCTCTGGCACCCTGTCTGGTCTTTACCTCCCCTCGTTCTCTACGAACGTGGTGAGTGCTGCTGACCTACAGGATGCGGGGGTTCACAAGTCACTCCTGCGAGTCAGCGGGTGACCCACCACACGGACGCTCACACATGCCGCCACCTGGCCACGTTTACACGTCGGCCGGGGTCGAGCCTGTACACACTGACCACTACGCCTCCTCCGGTCACTGCATCTGGTCAGGTAGCCGCGTCGGGTCAGGAATTTGCAGCGGTGTCCAGGTCTGGTCCTGACTCTGCCCCCTGCTCGTGTCGCCTCCTGTCTCACGAGACTCTCCTCTGGCACCACCGCCTTGGTCACCCCTCCCTGCTTCGTCTCCGAGGCATGGCCTCTCGTGTCCTTGTCTCTGGTCTTTCCCGGTCCCTCCCTCCACTTCCTCCTCGTCCTGGCCCTACCTGCGTCCCTTTTGTCGAGGGGCGGCAGCGGGCTGCCCCTCACTCCTCCCAGTTTCCTCCGACAGAGGCCCCGCTGCAGACGCTCCACATGGACATGTGGGGCCCGTCCCGCGTCCGTGGACAGGGTTACGAGCGCTACTTCCTGCTGGTGGTTGACGACTACTCGCATTACACCACAGTCTTCCCCTTGCGCAGCAAGGATGATGTCACTGAGGTGTTGATCGACTGAATCCGTGCAGCTCGTCTCCAGCTCAGGCAGAGCTTCGGTTCGGACTTTCCTGTTCTGCGTCTTCACTCTGACCGAGGCGGAGAGTTCTCCTTTGGCCTTCTGCGAGCCTACTGTCGTGCACGAGGCATCCGCCAGACCTTCACACTTCCGAATTCTCCTCAGCAAAATGGGATTGCTGAGCACCGCATTGGCATGGTCATGGACGTCGCTCGTACGTCCATGATGCATGCGGCTGCCCCCCATTTTCTGTGGCCATTTGTGGTTCGGTACGCGGCGCATTAGATCAACCTTTAACCCAGGGTCTCCAGGCTGGAGACCTCCCCAGCTCTGCTGTGGATGGGTAAGGTTGCCGATGCGTCGGCGTTCCGTGTCTGGGGATCTCGGGCGTTTGTTCGCGACTTGTGTGCGGACAAGCTGTCCCCTCGTGCTGTTCCTTGCGTCTTCCTTGGCTTCCCCCCTGACGCACCAGGGTGGCAGTTCTACCACCCCACCTCTCGCCGTGTTCTGTCCTCCCAGGATGTCACGTTTAACGAGTCGGTCCCCTACTACCGCCTCTTCCCCTACCGCACTCCATCCCTCCCCTCGCCACCGCTCTTTCTGGTACCAGGTCCCCCCCCGGTAGACCCCCTCCCCCCTCAGGGTCCTGCCCCGTCAGGTGTGTCCCAAATAGACGCAGTCGAGCTTGTCGAGGTTACTGGTGACTCGGGTGCTGAGCGTGTGGGTGCTACGCCTGGGTGTGCTGAGATTGAGGGTGCTACTACTGGGGGTGCTGAGCCTGGAGGTGCTGAGCCTCGGGGTGTGGCGACTAGGGGTGCTGAGCCTGGGGGTGCTGAGCCTAGGGCTGCTACGCCTGGGGGTGCGGAGCCTGAGGGAGCTGGGCCTACTCGTGTGGCGTCTTGCGGTGCTGGGCCTGGAGGTTCACCGGGTACTTCGTCCCACCGGGAGCCACTCTCTCCACAAGAGCTGCGCGAGTGGTTTTCCCGGCGCTGGAGGCGTGCTGCTGGAGCTGGAGGTTCTTTGGCTGCTGAGGGTGGTGGTGCCGCGGGTCCCGGAGGTGCTCGTGTCGCGAGTAGTGGAGCTGCTAGGCCTACGGGTACGCCTGGAGCTGGAGCTGGTGAGGGTGTTGGCGCTGAGGCTACTGCTTTCAGTCCTGGAGGCGGTCCTGTTGCGGGTGCTGCTGGTGCTGCTAAAGGTACGGGAGCTGGAAGTGCTGCTGGCACTGGTGCTGCCGCTGGGGATACTGGTGCAGTCCCTGCTGTGTCTAGAGTTGCTGCGCGGCCTCGGCCGTACTTCGTTCCGCTCCTTCAGCAAGTTCTTAATCTCCAGCCTTCTCCTGGTCCTCCTCCTCCCTTAGAGTGTCGGTGCAAATTCACATTGCACAACATCCTGCCGTCTGTTTGTACGAGTATGCGTGTGCGAATGCATTTGCGTGTGAATGGTATGTTCGTGTGTTTGTTTGCTTTCGCAATTTTCGCTTGAAGCATTTGCAGGTACTCGCACAATGTGCGCTTCGGCATAACATTGTACGCGCTATGAACAGTACAAGCAGAAAGGACGAGCTCGCAAAGGAACCCAAGATGGAAGCTTTGTGGTTCGGCTTACTTGATTGCGCAGATTCAGTTCTATCCAACTCGAAATTGTACTGTTTTGTTTGGTTGACTATAGTGTAGCAGGGCAGGCACTATAGGGGTACAATTTAGGTGAAGGTTGGATGTTGTTTGTCTGTATCTGCATGCTACAGGGCCAGGGGAAACCAGCGGAACCAGCATTTGGCTGGTTGGGCAAAGACAAAACAGGTTCTGTTTTTTGGACCTGAACCTGGTTGTTTTCCCAGGTTGGAAAAACAGAACCAGAGGTTGTTCACCAACCTACCACCTGCTATTTTGTCCAGCCAGGTTGGTTCTGTTGCTTGGAATTATTCGCTGGAATATAGTGAAATTGATTCAAGCGAATTCCTCCCTTCCTGGAATTTCGTTTCTACGCGGTGCGACGGCGGAATGCTACCCGAGTCAACGCTAGTACGCTAGCACTCCAACGCTAGGCTAACGCTGTCCGAGCCATAACTTCGTAATGGCAAAACTTTTCGCAAGGCAACTTGGCTTATGTTAAAGCTCTTAGAGTGAGCTTCGATATATTATATTCTCAGCTTAATCCGATCTACGGTCTGCACGATACGCTGCGCGACGTTCAAGGTACTCTTGCTGTTTTGACTAAGTCCCTCTTGATCCCTATTTCTACAAACTCGGACCCGAGGATAGGGGCTGGTCTTGTACCAGGCACCCAAGGACCCTTGGAGGTGACCCCGAGGAGAGGTTTTTAAGTGTGATAAAGTCTTAATAGCTTGAGTTTATTAGGCCCTTACACCAACAGTCTAGAATGGTGGAGGAAGTACAAGCATGTAGGCATAGAAAGGTTGAAGTTGGGGACTCCAAGAGAACCATGAGAGGGAAGGAATGCATTTATACACGCATACTCGTACAAACAGACGGCAGGATGTCGTGCAATGTGAATTTGCACCCAACACACTCCCCCTCATGCCTGCCGGCTGCATCCCCATCATTCCATACTAGTTCATGCTCATTCCACTCATGCGCACACAACGCCAATGAGGACTCATCCGCAAGCCTCTTGGTGAGGAAGTCTGCTGGCTGCTGGTGAGTCTTGATGTAGATCGGATTCACCGTCCCCCTCTTCACCTCCTTACGCAGCCAGTGCCACTTGATACGCATGTGCTTATTGAGCCCATGAAGCACAGCGTTCCTGGCCATCCCAAGAGCTCCCTTGCTATCACAAAACAGCGGCGTAGCAACCTTCTGCTCCTGGCCAATCTCCTCTAACAACCTCCTCAGCCAAATCACCTCCTTCACCCCATGGAACATCGCCATGTACTCTGACTCCACGGAAGAGAGTGCTGTCTCCGTCTGCTTCTTTGACCTCCAACTAACCGGTCCTCCCCCAACTACGCAGATGTATCCTCCCACAGATGAGGAATCCTCCTTCTCAGAGGCCCACGTAGCATCAGGTAAAGCAAGTGAGAAAAAGCTTGCCTTCTCCAAGCCTCTCCCCCTTCTCTTTCAGCACCTCAACCCCTTTCTGCTTCACCTGTGCAGATGCGGAGTATTGAACTCCAATGCTTGGGTGAGAGTTCAGATACTTCACCACACGCTCAGCTGCATCCACCTGCTCCTCTGATGGATTCTGCACTACCCTAGCCAGCTGCCCAACCGAGAAAGAGATGTCGGGTCTCGTGTGAACTGCTGCATACAAGAGGCTGCCCACCAAGGACTGAAATTGCTGCTGCTCCTCGGCTTCAACCCCTTCATCCTCTGCAGCTTTCACAAGCTTGAATTCTGCTGGCAGGGGAGTTGCAACCTTGCGCTCATTCTCAATTCCGTACTTCTCCCCAAGCTCCTTGATGAACTTCTCCTGGTGCAGCTTCAACCACCTGTGATCCAGATCCCTCTCCACGTGCATCCCGAGGTAGTACTTTACCTCCCCAAGGTTCTTGCACTTGAAGTTCTCCATCAGCTGCTGCTGCACCTTCTGGATCTCCTTCATGCTGCTGCTAAAGAGAAGAATGTCGTCCACATTAGACCAGAAACAGCACCAGCTTCTCCCCCTCCCCCTTGAGAAAGAGGCTCTCATCACAGCTGCTGGTCCTGAATCCCATCTCCTCTAAAACAGCTGCCAACTTCTGGTACCAGCAGCGTGGTGCCTGCTTCAAGCCATAGATGGACTTTTTCAGCTTGCACACCCTGCCCGTACCATCCTCATACCCAGGTGGCTGCGTCATGAACACCTCCTCCTCTAAAATCCCGTTGAGAAATGCCGTTGATATGTCCATCTGGATAATGAACTTCCCACTAACGGCTGCATCTGCCAACAAGACACGAAGGGTAGGGGGTTTGGCAGTGGGAGCAAAGATCTCATTGAAGTC